CCTGATATTCGGGTGGCAGGTAGCCTGACACCAGGGTTTTGGGGCCTTGGGTTCTCTTTCAGCTTCATTTACACACACATACACACACATACATGCACACGCACACACACACGTCTTTGTGCTTTCCTATTGAGATGATTCATAATCAGGATATTCCTATTCAAAGGAGATCCAGGCACCTTGAGGAGAGAGCAATTCTAAATGCTGGCATTTAGATTTGATGTTAGAACCATGCACATAAGCTAGCCTAAACCCCTCCCTACACACCCCATCTCTCCCCTCGTTAATGGAAAATATGGAAGCTCATTGAAGTGATGTGACTTGCCTAAGATTACACAGCAAGTGAGAATTCATTCATTCATTCATTCAAACTGGCAAGGAGGGCATGCACGGCCAACTCTTTATTCGGTAGAACAAAGTCCATTCTCTCAGCAGCGATCACTTCCAGGGCTGAACAGAAACAGGAGTCCTTCAGTGTGTCAAAAGAAATCCTGTCTTGATCACGCCACAGAAAACACTGGCTACCATTTATGGAGTGTCTCCTGCATGCAGAGTCTAGATAGGAATCTGGACATCTAGACGAGAAACCGGGCAATAACAGTATGGTGTGGAGAAAACTATGATGGGAAGTAGAGACTGATGGGAAGCACGAAGCATGGATACCTTATCTGGTCTCGGGGGCCGCTGGTGGGGATGTTGAAGGTGACTTTCTGTAGGGAAGGAGCTCCAATCCATACTGGAGGGTTGAGTAGGGAGTGTCCCAGGAAACGTTTGTATGTGAGTTGGGGCCCAAGGGAGTAAGCATGGAACAGTGTCCTTGACAGAGAGAACAGTATGTTTATAAGCCCCTAAGTAAAGATGAACCTGGCACAAAAGACCTATCTATATCAGGATGCCAATTTATTATCCCAGGAAGTGGGAGCAGGACTGTATAAAAGGCTTTCAAATGCACAGAACTCACAGCCGCTACCAAGGGCAGCCTTCCGGGGGCATCACACAGCTGAGAGAGTGATTTAGTATCATACCATCGCATGGAGATCAACTCTATTTTTCTTTTATCCTTATGGACTGTCGAGAAAGGCAAATAGGGACTATGAGTGTAAGAGGCACAAAGATGAATACTTTCCTTCCATTTATTTCTCTTCCTTTCTGGCCCAGTTAAGTCAAGGATCCACTTGATAGAGATGTTGTATTAGAAATAATGTACAGAAAACCTGATAGCAGCCTGTCAAAACCAGTGGCTAGTATTAGCAGGAGGCTCTGAGAAAGGATGGGCCTGCTCAACCCCCTGCATCCTAAGCTCCCCTTTCCTCACTTGTCATTTCCTGTCCCAGGAAGGACCTCCACCTGTCGCAGGACAGCAGTTGTGACCTCTCCTTTTTGGGGGGGTGGGGGGAGGAAATCCACCTGTCTCTCCCTCAGTGGCTTTGTGGTCTTCAGTAGGTCAATGGCTAAGACATTTTAAATCCAGTAAATTGTACATTTTCCACAGAGTTTGTCAGTCTTGAAAAACCCAATCTATGGGGACATCTCTACCTCAGCCTATGTGGGCTGTCCCCAGCCCAGGCCAAGTTCCTCCTTGTTTCTTCTTCAGCTTGATGGACAGGACTGCCCATCCTCTGACTCTCTTTGGGGGCTCGAGGACCTCTTCTCTATGAAAAGTTGCTGGAAAGAACAACAACAACAACAACAACAACACACACACACACACACACACACACACACACACACACAGAAAGGTATATTGGTCTCTGAGACATAGCTTCCCAGGACATCACCAACCTCTGGGGAGCTTTTATTAAATATATCTGGAAAGACTGAAAAGCACCCCAGACCAAGAGCCCTTTATTGAATCGTCTGCTCCAAGCAGACAGCCTCTTATCTTACAGCTTTTTCCTAAACATAATTGTTTCCGAAGGGTCTAGGCTTCACATTTGCATAACTAAAAGGCTGTTCCAGCGATTGCCCCAGAACAAAGGAATGGTCTCTGCTCAAAGGTGAATTACAGCTTTGACTTCTACAGAAACTTGAACCTGCAGGGAGCTCTGATATTGCAAGTTACACACACACACACACACACACACACACACCTACTTAGAAGATATACAGCTCCCAGAAATTCATAAGCCAGAAATAATTTTTAGGGCAGTTGACTTGAATTATATTTTGTGGGATTTGAATATAAGACATTTTAAGTATATAATTTCAACAGTGAGGAAAGTATGGCTACAGCCCTTCTGCTTAACAAATCTGTCTTGGGACCAGTTGCCTTAAATATCCTTAACAATCGCTCTGCACTGTTATTTCAGAAAAATGGAGTGTGTGGTTTGTCCGGCTCTGCTCAGGGTTGCTTTCTTTCTTTCATTCTCTCTTTTAGTTAAAAAAAAAAAGTTCCACAGTCCTTTCTCTGCAAAATGAAATGTTAAAATTGAAGCTGCCATTGCATATCTCCAACACAGCCCCCATACAACACAGCCCCTCAGGGGAAACCATGAGACCATGGGACCTGCAGCCTCAGTTTTCGGTTTTCTCCTGGGTATTTTGGGTCTGCATGTTTAATGATTCCACACCCAAATTCACCTACTTTTCTTGGTTCCTGCCCTCTTGCTGGTCATCTGAGAAGCCATGGCAATGAGAATAGCTGAACTTCAAAATCGCAGGCCCTGGGGACTCCAGCTGATCACACGGCCAGCAGATGAAGTATCATAAACTTGCACCTGACAGCATGAAGGCTAGAGACACTTGGAACTGGCTCAAGATCACAGAGGAGAGGGGCTGCAACCAGGATGTCTGGCTCCTAATATGGTGCCCTTTCCATTAGAACCCAGTGGTCTAAATTCTTCCTGTGCATAAAAATCACCTGGATAGCAGTGCCTGGCTGGGGACCAGCAGAGCCCTTACCCCCAGCATATTTACACCTAAATTTGGTTTTGAGCCAAATCCTCTGCCTTCCCCTTCCAGCTAATTTGCTGCCCTTAGTCATCTTGCACATACAAATTCCCACATAAAAATTCTGGAGTCTGAATGGTTCCATCCATTAATATTTTGGGCCATTTGTTAAAATGCAGGTTCCCAGGCCCCTTATCCAGAGCGTCGGGGTGGGTGTGGGGGAAGTCAGCAAACCTGCGTTCTGACACTCTCCCCTAACGGTTCTGTGGTCTGTGGGCCACACTTTGAAAAGCTGCTCCAAAGCCACCGTATTAAATGAGTCCACTGTGCCTTACTCGGAGCAATTCTCCTCTTTCTGAACTGTTAGAACTGGAGGCAGGTTGTCAGGGAGCATGCTTTAAGGCGATGCAGCAGCAGCTCCCCCTGTAAGAGGGAATAACCTCCTGTACCAGCGGGCAGGCTGGGTTTCTGAGGAAGGGTGGGAGGAACTGGAGCTTGTTTGAGGGTGTCCCACAGTCCTGAGCAGTAAGGGCTTTGTCTGGGAAGCGTAGAAAAGGAAGTACAGGGAAGGGAAGAGTTGGTGGACATTTTTCCTTGACGTTTGGCTTTGATCTTGAGGAAAGCTGGCAGCTGGGTCCCACGAAACAGTACATTAACAACTATTATTTCCCTGGACTTTCGCCTACATTAATGAAAGGTGGGTCAGTTCTCCCATACATGCTCCCTCATTTTATGTGAAGGGCTTTCTGGAGGTATAATTCACACGTATCTTTACTGAGATCTAATTCACTCATTTACAGTGTCCAATTCAGTGGTTTTTATTTCTTTATTTTTGTTAATCCTCACCTGAGCTATTTTTCCATTGACTTTTACGGAGTGTGGAAGGGAGGGGGAGATACAAGAGAGAAACATCGATGTGAGAGAGACACATCGATTGATTGCCTTCTGCACACACCCTGACCAGGGCCGGATGGAGCCTGCAACCCAGGTATGTGCCCTTGACAGGAATTGGACCCCGGGCCCTTCAGTCCGCGTGCAGATGCACTATCGACTGAGCAAACTGGCGTTTAATATATTCACAGAGTTGTGCAATCATCACCGTCGATTTTAGAACATTTTATCGCCTCAAAAAGCACCCTATACCCTTTAGCAATCACCCTTCCCCCATTTAATCTCCCCAGCCTCCCAACCATAAGCAATCATTAATCTACTCTCTGACTCTATTGATTTGTCTATTCTAGAGGTTTCATATAGGTGGAATTATATAATATGTCGTCGTTTGTGACTGGCTTCTTTTACTTAGCATAATGTTTTTTAAATTAAATTTATTGGGGTGACATTGGTTAATTACAGTAGATAAGTTTTAAGTGTACAGTGCCATACTACATCATCGGTATCCTGCAGCGTGTGCTTAACCACGCAGTCTGGTCTCCTTCCATCACCGTGTATTTGACTCCCTTGTCTCTCTTCATCCTCCCCTCAACCCCCTATCCCTCTCATAACCACCGTACCGTTGTCTGTGTCTATGAGTTTGTTTTGTTTGTTTGTTTCTTGCTTTCTGTTTTATATTCCACACGTGAGTTTCATTGTATGGTTCCTGCCCTGTTCTGTTGACTTCGCTCTGCTTGCTCAGTCCTCCCTCGAAGCCCAGAGGCTTGGGTTTTCCCCACCACGTCCACTACAGCCCCATCCTCCGGCCATTCACCTCCTGGTGGGGAAAGTTCAAACCGGACTCCCTTCCCATTAAAGGCTGCCGGGGTCCTTCTTTGGGCCGAACCGGAACAGGGCGGGGGGCCACTGTGCTTCTGCGGGTGGAGACAGACTCTCAGGTTGTCGGATCCAATGCACGCTGTCCCGGGCTGCTGCATGGTGGCACTCTCCTAGCCCGAGGGACCTGTTTTAAAATAAGGGAGCTGGGCACCTTACTTGGACCCCAGAGAGCAGGCACCCAGGGTTAGGTCGCGACCCAAAGGTTGCGGCAGCCCCGCGGCTCCAGTGCAGGGCGCGCTGGGTGTGTGTGGGTGAGCGTGAGCGTGAGCCTGAGAGCGCGCCCTGCCCGGCCGGTCGGAGGCGGACCCACTTGGTGGCAGGTGGGTGCGGCCGGCGGGTGCCTGGGCAGCGGCAGGGCAGCCGCGGCAGCAGTGGCGGCAGCAGCAAGTGGTTGGGCTGCGCATTTCCTTCCCTCCCCCTTGGCCCGGCCCCGCGGTGCCCAGTGCGCGGCGCCCGCGGCTCCTCGGTCCTGCGCGCCTCCCCGCAGCCACGGGCCGCTCCCTTCCACGCCCGCCCGCCCATGTCCCTGCCCGTGGTGCTCCCCGGCTCCTGCTGCCCGGTGGCCGGGCTCTCGGGCGGGCCGCAGGCCGGGGGCCCGGGCGCCACGGCCACCGCTGCCCAGGAGCCACCGCTGCCTCCCTTGCGGCCACGCTGGCCCCGGGCCGCGCTGCAGCCCCCGGTGCGGTCTCGCTGCTCTGCCACCGCCGCCGGGGTGCTGGCCGTGCCGCCCGCGCTCTCCTCCCGCCGGGCCGCCGCCGTCGCCCCGAGCTCCGCGTTGCTCCCCGGCCGTCCACTGCTGTCGCTCGGGCTGCTGCAGCTGATCCTGGGGTGCTGCATGGTGGCACTCAGCTTCGGGGCGCTGTCGCTGAGCAGCTCCCCGCAGGTGAAGAACTCGTGCCCGTTCTGGGCCGGCTCCTCGGTGAGTGCCGCGCGCCCCTCTCCCTCCGCAGGGCCCACCCAGGGATGCAGGGGCTCTGCGGGGTTCCCTCTGCTGCCCCAGGATTGTTTGTCGCCTGCGTTCTGTTTTATATTCCACCCTTGAGTGAAATTGTATGGTTCCTGTCCAGGACCGCAGGTGGGGAGCACAGCCTCTCTTGCAGGCGAGTTGAAGTTTTTTTGGGGGGGAAAGCCTACAAGAGCGTGGAGTTCAGGGATGAATTGGGTTGAACCTGGACAATGTCTATTCCTCGCAGGCCAGAGGACTCCCAGCTCTTTGGGAAAGTGGAAGGATGGGAGTGGGTGGTAAGAAGGCGGGAGGAAAATGGTTAAACTTCTTTGGCCGCTGAGTGTTTACTTCACGCATAACATCTGTGGGAGGAGGGCAGGGATTTTGACATTTTGTTCACTGATGTATCAACAGTGCCTGCCTGGCACATAGTAGGTGTGTTTGTAGTGTGGATGCAGTAACAGGTTGACTGAGGCAGCCACTTATTTTGTTCTCCTTTAAGACGGATACCTGTGAAACATGTTGGGATGAGTGCAATAGTAATGACAAGGTGTGTAAACTCGTGCTTGCACCTGCTCATTAAAGGAGGGCCCTAAGCCCCCACTCAGTTCCTGGAGCCACACAGGCTGCTGTGCAGAATTTAATTCTCCAGACCCCAAACCATCATTATGCATGAGCTCGCCAAAGCACCAGGAGCCGGCATAGGAGCTGGAGATGTCTGCCCCCTCAGGGGCCTGGCCCTGCCTCCTGGGAAAGGCTGATCTGGGGCAAAGGTGCCGCCTCCATAGTCTGTGGACACTGGGTGGCTACTCTTCCCTGCCGCATAGCAGTGTCACAGCTTGCAGGACCTCTGACCTCTTGAGCTTTGCTTGGGGTTGAGAGACTTGGAAACAGGTCTTCATGGGAAGATTGTGGAAGATGAGGGTTTTAAAGTAAATGACCCTTTTATGAACGAACTAAATGTGAAAGTCTGGCAGTGCCTGTAGTTTTGCCTAAGATCTGCCATGAATGTGTGTTCCGGATGCATAAAAATTGTCCTTTTGCAGGTCCACCCATACCCAGATTCAAGACCAAATTCCAAGAATATAGGAAGAACTCACTAAACCCAAAATAATTGTTTGAAAAGGACATTAAGAACCTTGCGTACCTGGAGCCTGGCCTGACGTTTTATGCTTAAACCGATGCCAGTTTGCTCTCCTTTGAAATACTTGGATGCTGGGCGCTCTTACCTGGCACAGCCCATGCTGTGGTTACGAGGTCACAGTCTGTGCATCAGGTAGAAAGGAACCCACGCCTCGCTGAGTGCTCGTTAAACTCCAGGAGGAGGGATTAGGTCCATTATGCTTTTTAGTCCACGTGTCAGACTAACTTCAGCCAAATGGTGGGTGCATTTCATTTCTCTAAATACCATGGGCCAGAAATGAAACCTGCATCCATTTTTTTTTTTAGGGATTTGCTCTTAGTAAAATCATAATCGCTTATCCTCTCAGATAGCTAGTTTAGGATTATTGGAAACTATTTTTCCCCTTCTAAAATGAAAACCTGAAGTCGGGTATGCTATTGTGAATTATTCTAGAGGCAAATGTACTTAGATGTCACCCAAGCCACAGTTGGAGTTGATGAAGTATTAAAAAAAAAAAGGGCCATGATCTCACTCATTTATGGAATATAATGAACAACATAACCTGATGAACAGAAACAGAGACAGAAGCACCGATCAGACCATCAAACCTCAGAGGGAAGGCAGGGGAGGGTGGGGCTAAGGGAGAGAGATCAACCAAAGGACTTGTATGCATGCATTTAAGCATAACCAATGGACACAGACACCAGCGGGGTGAGGGCATGAGTAGGGGGGTGGTGGGGGGCCAATGGGGCAATAAGGACACATATGTAATACCTTAATTAATAAAGAAAAAAATATTTTAAAAAAAGGCCATCAGCCAGAAGATGAAGGCTCTTCCCTGGGCCTGCTGGCTGGGTATGTCCTTGTCTCCACGACCCAGGAAACCAGATGAGGGAAAGAATCAGTTATTTGGAACTAAATTATCTTCTATAGGGACGTTTTCCACCCCCTATCTCCCAACTCTACATGCAAACTTGCAACTGTTCATTATTCTTACTTTGTGTGGCCTGTTTCTGAGGTTGACCTCAGAATTTGCAAAATGACAACAGAACCAACAGATACTGCATCTCCGGAACAGCGGCCTGAGGGCGGTATTGGGCACCGTGACTCTCTAGGTGTTTCAGGAAAAAAGTCTCACCCTCACCGGTAGCATACCTTTTGAATTTATGTATGTGAGAGAGGTGGTGGTGTTTTCTAAACTCTGCATTATGGAAAATTTTATATTTATTCAAGCACTACACAATGAACCCTCATATATCCTCACCCAGGTCCAACACTTGTTTGGTCTGGGCCTCTTCCTGGACCTGCTGCTGGGTCTGTGTGTTCTGATAACTGCAGGGGGCTGGGTCTTCCAAGCAGGCGAGGGATCATCTCCATCGTGCTTCCTAGTCCATTTGTCAGATTAACTCCCTATATTGTTTTGAAGCAAATCTCAGACATTGCATTGTTTCAACTGTAAATATTTCAAGAGGCGTTTATTTTAAAATAGAAAACATAAACAGAATAGAGAGACCGCCTAGAAGTGACCAGGAAATCTTCAGAACCTCTTTCAGTCTTAATCTTTTATTATGAAATTTTAAAATCTCAACAAATATAGAAAAAATAGTTTAATGAGCTTCCATTTACCCATCACCCACAGCTTCAGTAGCTGTCCACACTCTTTCCCCTTTCTTAACACCCACTGGGTTACTTTAAAGCAAATCCCAGGTATAATTTCAGCCATTAAATACTTCTGTATGTATTTCCAAAAGAAAGGGACTTAATAGTAAAGTGTAACTAATTTAAAGAGAGCTGAACTAAGGTGCTTATGACAGAAAGCTTAAAAATTATGACTTGAAGACTGTAGAAGTTTTTTTTTTTTTTTAACTAACAACTTCATTGGGATACAATTCACATTCCATATGATTCACCCACTTAATGTATGCAATTCAGTGATTTTTAGTAAATTCACAGAATTGTACAACCATCATCACAATCAATTTTAGAAAATTTTCATCACCCCCAAAATAAACCCTGCCCTGGCAGCTCCGTTGGTTAGAGTGTTGTCCCGATATGCCAAGCTTGCCAGTTCAATTTCTGGTCAGGGCACATTCAAGAAGCAACTAATGAATGCATAAATAAGTTGAACAATGAACTGGTCTCTCTCTCTCTCTCTCTCTCTCTCTCTCTCTCTCTCTCTCTCTCTCTCTCTCATTAGTAATAAAAAAAAGAAAGCTGGAACCTATTAGTAGTCATTCCCCATTTCCCCTGACACCCTTATTCCTAGAGAACCGCAGATTAATCATGTTCTGTCTCTATGGATTTCTTATTCTGGACATTTAATATAAAGGGAATCATACAACATGTGAACCTTTGTGACTGGCTTCTTTCACTTAGTGTAATGTTTTCAAGGTTCATCCATATTGTGACATGTATCAGTACTTCATTCCTGTTTATTGCCAAATGGGATTCTATTATATGGACATACCACGTTTTGTTTGTCACTAAGAAGTTTTATTGGCCTGTGAAACTTGGTAGTTGAGTAGCAGTGCCAACCTACGTCTAAGGTTACTTCAAACCCCCGTAGGAACTCAGTAGAAGGATATCCTCATATTTCAAGCTGTGGATGACCATTATGTGCCATAATCTGCTGTATCAAACTCAATGGGCAAATCTCTTGGCTTCAGTAAAAATTTTGCTTGCATATTTGATATAAAATTAAATCAAATATATTTATTTAAAAGGTCTGTTTTGTTAAACATGGCATAGCTCAAGAGTATTCGCTTCATATACACCTCTGTAAGTGTTCTCACATTGAGCCTGAGATTTGGAGGCTCCCTTCACTTGTCTGAACCTTGAAGGTGTATTTTATCTATTTTAATATATACTTAAGAATTAGCCTGATAGAGTGGCTCAGTAGGTTGAGTGTTGTCCTGTGCACCAAAGGGTTGCCAGTTCTATTTCTGGTCAGGGCACATGCCTGGATTGTGGGTTTGATCCCCAGTCCAGGCACGTATATAACCAGGGCGTGTACAGATGCAACTGATGGATGTTTCTCTCTCTCTCTCTCTCTCTCTCTCTCTCTCTCTCTCTCTATCTCTATCTCTATCTCTATCTCTATCTCTCTCTCCCCACCTTTCTCTCTTTAAGCATATCATTGAATGAGGATTTTAAAAATTTCTTCTTCTAAAAAAGAATAAGCAGTTCCTATAAAGACTTTTTCAAAATTTCAGCAGGTTGAAGGGAGTGTTTTTCATGTACTCATTGTTTTTGAACATCCTGTGATCATTTCATTCTTCCTGGTATTCTTGGTTAATGACTCCATCTATTATTATTACCAAAGTTCATGAAGCTAAGAGATTAGCCACTTGTAAAAACAATATGAAGTTTGACTCCATGTGGGTGGCAGAGAAATGACCTCGATGTCCATGCTCAGGCCACACTGTCCAGGCACCTGATTTGGGGGAACATTTAGTTAACCTTAGATCCCACTGGGATTAGTGGAGACAGCCTACCACACTGTGTTAGATTTAATGAAAGAGTAGAGATTTGCACTGGTTTAAATATCCTCCTTCAAAAAACAGAATTCTGGACTCTGATGACATATTTGATCCTTGGGAGATATTTTAGGCAAGTGGTAAAGAGTTGGTTATTGTTTTTGATCCTTCTGTGGGAGCCCTAATTTCCTTTCCTGTCTGCATACATTCATGTCTCCCTGCTTGAAGTCACTGACCTGTACTCATGGTCACCCATTCCTTGAGTCTGTGATTCTTGGGTGAGATTCCAGTTCTTTATAAAGAATCAGTCATTGGTGAATCTTAAGGTTAATCTTTTCTTTGAAAAAAAAAATTGAAATGACAAAACATAAAAT